TTATAACATAACCAAAGTAAAGCGCGCGCTCTGATTGGTCAATTTAGCGTCCCCCATTTGCCCATGGGTGTACGCTGCTGACGTGAGCAAATGCAAAGACTATTTTTCCGCGCGCGCTTGTTTTTTCTGGTCACGTAAGATTTGTTAAATAAAAGGGAACTCTTTAGCTACAATGTATCAATGTTATGTTATAAAACAAATGGTAAACACCACAGCGTACACTATTGAGTTATGGATGCACTTGGGAGGTTTGCTAAGCACTCAAGAAGCTAGAGTCGCTCTCGGCTATCGCCTCGAGCGACTCTTACGCTTCTTTCGTGCTTAGCAACCTCCCGCGTGCATCCATAACTCAATAGTGTACGCTGTGGTGTTTACCATTTGTTAATTATTGGTTGAGTGTCAATTAGTCACTACATTCTTGAATCACCTTTTTCTTGTGGAACAGGGTACTCATAAATATGTGGGATGGGCCACCAGAAAGCATATGCAGTCTGAACTGCGTATTTTCATTAAGGCAATTTAAATGATTTTCAGTTTTCTTCATGACCTGCTGGATAAATATTTAAAATTGCAAGCTTTTCTACCCCTTCCTTTCAAGACGTTGCTTTGGTCCATTTTAAAATCTGAATTGTATATTACATAAGACATCTACTTGGCGAGCTTACATATGTTTTGCTTAAAAGGAACCTTCTTCTTCATGACCGGAAAAATGTTAGCCTTCAGCAACAAGCTTCATTTATTTGTATGGTATCTTTTGACTTCAAGTACAAAGTTACATTGACAAAATCTTGTTTAACAAAAATCTTCATCAATCAAAATTAGCAACGAGGCTTAGACAAAAAAAAAAAAAAACAAAACAAAACAAACAGAACAAACAGGCAAATAGACAAAAAAAATGTATTTGCTACGAAATGCAAGCAATAAGGTGGTCAGACTGGTCATCTCATTTCTTGCGGAAGCTCTGAAGTCGGTCGTTAGGGAAACTCATCGCGCCCGGATTTACACACCACTTGCCTCCATCCAGTTGCTGTTGCAGACCCTGATAGTTGGGTTTGGTGAAGATGGCAAAGTTTTGGTTCTCGGACAACACGATGTCAGAGGAAACTCCACCGGCTGTCCCGCTTGGGAAATAGGGGTTCACATCTGAGCAGCTTTCTTCAAACCACTGCATGAAAATTTTGAAAAGAAAAGCGCTCAAATAAATTGAGGAGAAACTTTTTGATGTTACTTATTTCATATTAGCATGAAAGCTCGTTTTCAGGAGTACCCTCTTAAGAAAAGTTTCGAATTTGGTTCAACCCTACATTTATAACGAGGTTTTTAAATCCTCTGAATATTAATTCAAGATTTAGGGGCGAACGGAGCTACCGGTGAGAATCGTAATACAACAGAAAGCGTGAGCTATTGATCACTGAAAAGCTTATAAGCTCTCAATACCTTCCTTTCTCCACCGTAGTTACTGTGCTCGAACAGAATAATTCCTTCCACTTGGTCCTCAAGGAGATACATGGAGCCATTCACACATGAGATGTTTACATCTGCTCCAGGCTGGAGAACCTTGTGGTTAGATGGACCAGCACCAAATTCATTGTCGTTGTAGTTTGCATGAGTGTAGAGGATCCAAGTTCCTGAGGTAACCACGGCTCTTGTGAATTCAGCACCATCTCCCTTCAGGTTCTTGTTTGAATCCGCAAACTCCTGGCTCAGACCTTGTGAGCTGTACAACTTGATAGACATGATGGATTAAAACTGGAATAGATTTACATGAAAATATCTCAACAAATGTAAATGCGTTTACCATGAATGATTACTTCGTTTTCAAATTATTCAGGTCCCATTTTTGTACTGACGATCGAGGCTCTCAGGTTGAACATCCGTCAGATCTCTCATTTAAAACTTTGAGATATGAGTGTTCAAGGAATGCAACAATTTTGAACTTGCCAAATCAACCTACCTTGTCAAGGCGTATTTAAGAAACCTGACACTGAGATTGTGTGTGTCTCCTAATGGTAGGCTACTAGGTTTGCAGCTACCTTTGCAAATTATTTTTCTTACCTTTATTTTCCAAGCGTAATTCCGGGAACACAATTTCTTCTTGACGTATTACGAGGCTCCAAATTAAGGGTACCTTTGCCACTGTACGTGGAAGTCTTATTATATCAGTTTACAGATCATTACTGCGCATGTCATGGACGTGCTGTCCACGACTTTCAGGAAGTAAATAAAACTCCAATAGCCTGTCAATAACCAGTTTAATAAGCCCTCCAAGACATTCAATTGCCTAAGATCAAGTTCAAAGGCCCCCCAAGACTGAATAAAAACAGCTTGAAATAAATTGCCACCAGTCCCCCTTAAAATCACCTGATAAAAAAAGGTCTGACAACAGGTGTTTTACAAGTTATTCCTCAAAGAAAAATTTTTAACAAGATGCTTCCTGATATGGAAAATTGAATTTCGAAATGAATGACAACGTATGCGTGTTTCATCTCTTTGCTTGCGTTGGCGTAACCTTGGCTCATTTCAGCCAAAATACTCGACTTGCTTTGTTGTCTTTCTAAGTTCTGCTCAGTCGAAACTTTGTCCAATCCTCGAGATGATTGATTTTTGGTTAGTGCAGGTCATAACAGTTGACCTCCACATGACGTCAGCTTCACGAAATGGATATATAAACTGTTTATGAGTCACAGGATTGGAACAAACATTCAAAGAGCCTCTCATTAACCAGTTCAATAGCCCCTTCCGCTCCCCTCTCAGGACATTATTGAAACAGCACGGAAAGTACATGGACTCGTCTCAGTTCCTTCTTAAAATTATAGGGTTAAAAAAGTGTTACAAGATATTCCTTAAGGAGCAATTCTCGACACGATAATGCTCGATATTTTAGGAACAACATTAATTTTGAAAAGGTTAAATTCGGAAACGTCTTTTATCAGTTTGCATGGGTCGGCAAAGCCCTAAACTTGATCATTTCCTCATTGGCAGCATTCCAGCACATAATTCCCTGTGTTATACCTCATGTAATGATATTTCACCGCCCATTTAGCATCGAGAGAAATCTAGAGAAAAAAAGGAAAAGTCGAGGGTGCGTTTTTCTCAGACTTTGTCTTAATGCATTAGGGAAATAAGAAATAAAATGTATTTTTAGAGAGGGTTTGCTGTGTTTTATGAGTATTTTTTTGCGAGCAATGGATGCTTCAGCGTGAATGTAATTAAGAAGCGAACCTGGCGTTGTTCGATATTTTTAAAAGCAGACTTGAGTTTTAAAAGGTTAGAAACGTTTTCGTATTTCAAATCACAGCTTAGCTGTATAGCGAAGTCGTCAAAGCGAGTGACGAAGGGCCAACACTCCAAATATCAGCTTTGAAACTCTTTACTGTGGTAATGAAAACTGACTGTCTCCCGAGTGATCAGACAGATAACAAATAAAGAAGCCTCGTCTGTGTCTTTTTCTGTTGTAAAGCACACTGGAAGCGGCTGGAACACTATAGTTAATAGATCTTATTAGACGTTTTCTTGTGTAGTATCGCTGAGTATTTTTACGAGTTGTGCCGTATTGTGACAAGCCCGTAAGGCGAGTCAAAATACAAACAACGAGTATTAATACTCAGCGATACAACACAAAAAATCTTCGAATAAGAGATTTATCATCCAACATACCAAATTATTATTTCAGTGGGGGCGAATTTCGCGGATATTTCTGGAGTACAAATATCGCGTGATATTTACCTAGCTGTTAGGGATGAAGGTACCGTGGGTGGATTACGTTTTCATTGTAGTGTAGCTATTTCTTGAGTGCTCTAACCGCTTCCAAAGTGTTTTACAACAGAACAGAGCACAATGAATGCTTCTTTATTCATTCAGTTACAATACAGGAGACATCAATTTTCCCACGCATTCCGTGTTATTTTCAAAACAACATTGATATGTTAACTTTATGCCAATCAGGATTTCTTTTAGAATGGGAGAAATAATTTAATTGTTTGAATAAGTCCAAACCTGTCAGAATGTCAAACCATTAAAGCTCACAGGTCGAATTTACCACTTGGAAAAGTCTTGTTTTACAAGATAGCTTTTATGTTTACGGTGACCGCAGAAAGCAACACAAAAGTGTACATATTCAATTAGGCAAAAACCGCACATATCGAATTTTGAAAATGGGTAGAAAGTTTCTCCCTTAAACAATTCGATGGAACCTCTAACCTTTAATAAATATGAATAAATTAATCAAGGGAATGTTATGGCAAAATGAATTAAAATTTTTTGGCACTATCCTGCCTGATTTTCTCAAAAGGAGTGAAGACTGGAAACGGCAAACGTGAAATGTCAACGTCACCTTTAACCTCTATTGTTATTTTTGGAACGGAAGTTGCTTTTGTCTCCTGGTCATTGTGAAACCAAATTAAAGATCATTAAAGTTAGTTGGTAATTATTTTTACGTGCGTTTTAACTGAAACTCAGGTTTACTGACAGTACGATTACTATTACCAACTCGGCGCTACGCACCTCGTTGAATATTCTTCATCTCATATTCGGCGCGTGCTCATGGTTAAATATCCGGTTTCGTGATGTTGGCGAGAAAGTCAACAGTTATCAACTGCATCACAGAAAAACAATTTTTTCAAAATTTCGACTGAGCAGAACTTAAAAAGACAACAATGTCAAGAATGTCAGTCAACAGTTATCAACTTTATTACAGGAAAATAAATATTTGTCAAAGTTTCGACTGAGCAGAACTTGAAAAAAGATAACAAAGTAAGTCAAGAATGTCAGATAAAATGGGTCAAAGTTTCCATAAATTCCATTTTTTTCCACCCCCATATATTATTTTGATTAAAAAACATTACTCCGTGCCTTTATCAATTATGCATAGAAGCCTAGTGATAAAGACAAGAAAAGAGGGAGATAGGGATGACAAACACCTTTTCATCTGAGAATGTATTGGAAAAACTGCAAAAGTCCACAGTCCCTTTGTCATTGCTTGTATAATAACGCTTTCCTAAGGCTTGTGCCTCATTAATTACTTAATACAGAAACCACGTTTCCTTTTATTCCAGTCTCCGCGTTAACTACATTGAAAAGATGGTAACAAAGATCATCCCATCGTTATTTGCCAGCTTTGGTAAAGCAATAATAAAAAGGTGTTAACAGCAAATATAATAATAATTTTTCAAAGTCAACAGTTATGAACTGCCGTACAGAATAATTCACTGTTTCAAAGATTGATCAAAATTTCCACTGAGCAGAACTTAAAAAAGACAACAAAGCAAATCGAGTGTTTTGCTTGAAACGAGTTAAAGGCTGAGATACCAAGGCATACAGAGCGATGAAACACGCATGCGCTTTTATTATTTTCAAAAATCGAATTTTGCTGTTAAAGTATCGGAAAACGTCGAGTTGTAAATCAAAAAATAAGGAATATCCTACAAAACGTCAGTTGTCAGATTCTTTTTTATCCAATGATAAGTTGAAGGGGGGGGGGTGAGACGTGTCAACTACTTCAAGCTGTTTTGATTCTGTCTTGGGGGGTGATTGAACTGGCTATTAAATGTCTTGGGGGGGCTTAATGAATTAACTATTGAGAGGCTATCGGAGTGTTTATTTCTATTCTGCCACACGTAAACAGCACGTCAATGACATGCGCACTTCTGATCTAAGAAATGCTATAAAAGGAATCGTGCCAAAGGTGTCATCTGGAGTCTTGTAAGACATTAAGAACAAGTTGTATTACCCTTGGAAAACAAAGGTAAGTAAAACTATTTACAAAGATAGCTGGAAACCAGTAGCCTACCTTTTGCTGACTCACACAATATGAGTTGTAAGTTTTCTCAAGCTTTTTCGAGGTTAAAAAGGTTGATCTGGCAAATTCAAAATTGTGTCCCTCCTCGACCGCTCATATCTCGATGTTTTAGTAGGAAATGCTGTCGCATATTTAACCTCAAAACTCGTCAGTACAAAAATGGGACTCGATTGATTTGAAGGCGGAGTAATCAGTCATAGTAAATACATTTACTTCTGTTGTGACATTTTCATGTAAATCTATTCCAGGTTTGATCCATCATGTCCATAAAGTTGTCCACCTCAGATGGTCTGAGCCAGGAGTTTGCGGATTCAGTCAAGAACCTGCAAAAGGATGGCGCTCATTTCAAAAGAGCCGTTGTTACCTCAGGAACTTGGATCTTCTACGCCCATAAATTATACAATGACGGAAAAGCTGGTCTAGCTGACTACAAGGTTCTCCAACCCGGAGCAAATGAAGACATCTCATGTGTGAATGGCTCCATGTATCTCCTTGAAGACCAAGTGGAAGGAATCATTCTGTTCGAGCACAGTAACTACGGCGGAGAAAGGAAGGTAATGAGAACCTGTAAACTTTTCAATGATCATTATAATAGCTCACGCTTTCAGTTGTATAACGATTCCCGCCGGTAGCTCCGCCTCGCCCCCTATCTGTTAGATCTCTCTTCGCAGGTGGTGAGCGAATATTTTAGGGAATTTAAAAAATCCATAGTAAATAAGGACTTCAGCAAATTCAAAACTCTTCTTAAAGGGCACTCATGAAAGTGAGATTGTTTGTTTCCGAAAACAAACCTTTAAAGGTTAGATTTTAGATTAAAATAAGTACCTCATGAAAGTTGCTCTTCATTTTATCTGAGTGCTATCCTATCCTTTTCAAAATTTTCATGCAGTGGTTTGAAGAAAGTTGCTCAGATGTGAACCCCTATTTCCAAAGCGGGAGAAGCGCAGGGGTTTCCTCAGCCATCGTGTTATCCAAGAACCAGCAATTTGCCATCTTCGCCAGTTCCAACTATAAGGGTCTGCAACAGCAACTTGATGGAGGCAAGTGGTATGTGAATCCAAACGCCATGAAATTCCCCAACGATCAACTGCAGAGCTTCCGCAAGATATGAGATAACCAATCTGACAGGCTCTTTGCTTTCATTTCTCAGTAATTTTTCTTTTTTTTTGTTTCTTTTATTTGATTTTTTGTTTGTTTCTTGCTTTGGCCTTATTGTTAACCTTGAGCGTGGAAGATTTTGTTAAACAATTTTTTTTCAGTTCAGCAGAGTACTTTGAATTATTCATACGATTTAAATAAAAGAAGCTTATTGCAAAGTTAAGGTTGGCATTTTTCTTTTCATAATTAAAGAAATAATGTTATTAATTTCTTTAACCCTTTTCCCGTGAGTACAGTGTGGCGTGGAGTATGCGATTTGATGCGAAACGATCCAGTTATTAATTTTACCGCGCCCGCGAGTTGTTTGTCCAGCATCAGTGAAAGGCTTCTAGCTGCCTGGCGTTTCTTCAGGGAGCCCCGGTGATACAAAGCCAATGTTGTCATTGAGTTAGAGAGGTCGCTCTAGGTCTCCCATGCACCTCCATCCGCACATTGCATAATTCATGCGAATGGCTTTTACTATGTCCAACGGATAACCTCCTCAGATTTTAAAATGACTGCCGTCATTGATCAGTCAAACACGGTCCATTACTGTTTGTGTTTAGAACCATTCTCATCTTAAAGATGTTTGCCGTAGCAAACAGTGTAGCCTATGAGTCTCTTTTGCCATCTTGACTCTGAGAAAGTTTTGCGAAGTCAATTAAGTTCGAATAACAATAGAAGCTCCTGCCTTTATAGCTTATGTGATCATTTGTTTTAGTGTTGTTACCTAACAATTTGGATATATCAACAAAGTTGAAATGGTAAATTGGCCACCGTAACGATTACAAAAGTTGACGTTTCGAGCGTTAGCCCTTCGTCGGAGCGAATAGAGGAATTGTGGGTTGTGTGTGCTTTTGAAGGCAGAAAATGGAGCTACGTCTACGTTATTGGTGGGAACATGGCAACGAGAAAAACACGAATAAATTGGTGGAATAAAAAGCGTTCGTTGATACCTGTGGGAATTAGACTGCCAGTTTGAAAGATGAGCTTTTGTTCAAGAGTTTTACGGCTTTCCGTGCTACCTAAGTGTAAGGAAAGACTGCAGATTGCCATATGTTGCTTAGAATGATTAGATAAATTAAAATGTCTAGCGACTGGTTTCGATGTGTCCCTGTCATTCCTTTCCACGTCGCGAAGGTGT